GGAAAATCAATGACCCCCCGGGTGGGGCCAGTTTTGACCCCAGGCTTTTATTTTGAACAACTTAGTAGACACTTATTAGAACATGTTTCATGCTAAATATCTTAGCTCTAACTCTTTTGGTTCTTTAAAAGAAGATTTTTTAAGTTTTTACTATATGCATATAGGGAAAATCAATGACCCCCTGGGGCAGTGCCAATTTTGACCCTAGGGCTTTTATTTGAACAAACTTGGTAGACACCTATTAGAACATGTTTGATGCTTATATCTTAGCCATAGCTCTTTGAGCTCTTTAAAAGAAGATTTTTTAAGTTTTTACTATATGCATATAGGGAAAATCAATGACCCCCCGGGGCGGGGCCAATTTTGACCCCAGGGCTTTTATTTGAACAAACTTGGTAGACACCCATTAGAACATGTTTCATGCTAAATATCTTAGCTCTAGCTCTTTGGGTTCTTTAAAAGAAGATTTTTTAAGTTTTTACTATATGCATATAGGGAAAATCAATGACCCCCGGGGCGGGGCCAATTTTGACCCCAGGGCTTTTATTTGAACAAACTTGGTAGACACTCACTAGAAGATGTTTCATGCCAAATATCTAAGCTCTAGCTCTTATGGTTTTTTAAAAGAAGATATTTAAAGTTTTTTCTTTCGGTTGCCATGGCAACCAGAGTTCTGCATGGAATTAAATTCTTTGAACAATTTTTAAAGGTGACCACCAAAGAAACATTCCTGTGAAGTTTGGATGAAATTTGCTTAGTGGTTGATGAGGAGATGTCATTTAAAGTAAAAGTCTACGGACGGACGACGGACGGACGGACGACGGACAGACGGACGCCGGACGAAAAGCGATCACAAAAGCTCACCCTGTCACTTTGTGACAGGTGAGCTAAAAATAGTGCATTTAAAATTCAGCCAGATCAGGAGTTGAACCTGAAACCTTCCGTAATCTGAATAGAAACTCAATTTGGGATGCTCTAACCAATTAAGCTACCTGGCTTAGAAAATCAAATAACACATGGAACAAATAAATATTCAATTTTTAAGTATGATAAAAATAACATTAAATTTTAAAATATAAAAATAAAATATTAAATTTAAAATGTCTCCCTTTTTTAGGTTATAAGTAACAACAGTTTAACAAATTTACTGCATTAAATATAAAATTGAAAATTTTGGTTTCATTTGCAGAGGCTTGGCCTATACCAGGTACCCCTGAAAAGTGCCCTATCACATTATACAAATTATATCAAACAAAGAGACCTAATGAGATGCTTGATCCAGAGGCCCCATTCTTCTTGACAGTGGCAAATGAGAGACAAAACGAGGGTCAAGCATGCTACAAGAGAGTTGCAATGGGAATTACCAAAATTTACAATATCATGAAGCAAATGAAAACTGGCGCAGGTATTGAAGCACCCAAAATCAAACCATACAGGTATGAATTCCAACAACAATCAAAATTAAAACTATTACATATCATAAACAAGAAAAATATTACATACATTCGTATGTAATATAGGTACGATTGCATACTACTTTTTGTGAAGACTTTTTATACTTGCTGCATTATAGGTGTAATGTAAAATGAACAAACATGTCATGAGATATGCCGGCTCGTGAAAATATGTGGCATTTTATCATGTTTCGTGAAAATATATTCCATATAACACTCAAACGAAAAAATATCCTCTTAACATTTAAATATAAAATAACAAATTAATAAGTAAGAGGACTACTATAATTACCTCGTAGTCACTATAATTACCTTGTAGTCACTATAATTACCTCATAGTCTAGTTTTGGAGTATTTCAAGAGGGCAATATTGATGGTGAATGTAGATGAATCATGATGGGGCCGCAGCTCTTTCTGATGTTCTGGGTTATACTTCACTACAAAATTTAATATAGCTCGAGGAAGCTGTTAAAAGATAAATAATATAGTAAGATATATTGTAACTTATATATGCAATGGTGAATGTGAATAAAGCTTTTTGTTAAGGTAAGAAATTTATAACAACTTACTGCGATCAAAATATTGAATTCAAATTCATCTGCTTTATCACACAAATATTTATATAATCAAATTTTTGTAATTGAGCCACATCATGACAAAAACAAAAATAGTGCGTTTGCAACCAGCATGAATCCAGACCAGCCTGCGCATCCGCGCGGTCTGATCAGGATCCATGCTGTTCGCTATCAGTTTCTTTACTTGTAATAGGGTTGGTATGCTGATGCGCAGTCTGGTCTGGATCCATGCTGGTCGCAAACGCAATACATTGGTTTTGTCATGGCGCGGCTCATATTTACTTGCTCAAACACTCTTTTTTAGTTAAAGAAACAAAAAATCATCAAAGTAAAAGACTGTTAGTCACAGAAGAGGCATTCCAGCATTCAGTAAATAGGAGAACAAATAAAAGCTTCACTACATGCTCGTGTAGAAGGCAGGAAATCAAATTTGTATCACTGAATTAAAAACCTTATCTTCAATTATCTTTTTTATTTTTAGAACTAAAAATATTTTCATTTATTTAATTTTACCCATGAAATATGGTGCTATATCAGTCAAATATAATTCATATTTTTTAAAAATAAATATGAAATATAAATATGAAAGTGGGCGGAGTCAAAACTCATATTTAGTTTAAGGGACTTTTTTCGCCGTTTTGTTTGAAAAATCTGATAAATACAAAACAACTTTTTCTTGAATTTTGTTTTGAAAACTATCTAGCATGATAGAAAATGGTCTAACTAAGAAAATTTATCCGAACACCAATATCTTTAATTCAGTAATTAACGCTGTACAGACGTTTAAAGAGTTGTTTACATGACGTCACAATGTAGCGCCAAACAGCGTGTGCTTACGCATAAATTACTGCGCGCTGTACAATTGCAGTTGGTAGCAAGCATTTTCTTTGATAATGAAATTAAATAAAAAGGTTATTTTTTTGTTTTTCGTGAATATGGTATATATTTTCACTCAACATGATAAAATGCCACATATTTTCACTCGCCGTACCAACTTGCGAAAATATGTGGCATTTTATCATGTTTCGTGAAAATATATACCATATTTCACGCAAACGAAAAAATATCCTCTTATTATTCAGTTTGGAGTTTAACTTATATTTTTTATTTTATTTGTTTTTCTCTTTTTGGTTTAAAAAAATAATAATTAATTTTTCTTGATAATATTGGACAAAGAAAATCACTTAGCAAAAATCAAAAATTTCTTTTTTAAGAAAAGGGAGCAATATGTAAATATCAAAAATGGAGAACAGTTCTGAACAAAATAGTTTTGTAAAAGATGATAATTTAAACATGGATGTTAACAAAAAATACCAATGCCATTTGTACAGATGATACGGCAACAGTATTCTCGTTATTTCTCGATAAATTCATTATTATAGCATAAAATCGACTATTTTCCCCAGGTTCTAACGGGACCAAAACCATGTGTTAACATAATCACGCGCTCTTGTTATAGCCCGGTTTCACCTATGCGCAATACATACATGGCCCAGTAAACAAACAAAAATTTGACGATTTGGCCTGTTTTGCCAAAGAGTCATGCGCTCTTGTTATATTGAAATTATTGATTCGAGGGCCCCAATCGCATAACGACGTGCAGCATTCAAGTAACTATGCCGGAAATACGGCGTATAAAACATCACTGCTAATCTTGGTTGTCGCCCTGTCTAAGAAACGGACAGTTGTCAATGTAAACAAATACAGTACCTGTCATTCAGTTTAACACTCCGATTAACTTACAAAACTAGATAACACAAAATGAATATGAGAAAATGTTGTTTTATTTATGTTAATGTTGATAAATGCTCTTTATATTTCTTTGAGAGAATAATGCTTAGTGCCTGAATTTTTTTTATAAACTTGTTTGCTTGAAAAAAAATCAATTTGTTAAATCAATTAAAATTCAAAATTTTGTTCGGTTCTGGGATTTTCCAAGTTGTTGGCCCCGGAAAAATAAAACGCATATGTAAAACATGTAGAATTGGATAAAATACCGTCCAAGCACAAGAAATTAATGTAATTGTGTTTTGTATTAACTATACATCACGAATTTGTTTAAAAATTTTATGCTATAATATCATCAACGCACGTTTATTTCGCGTTATAAAGTCTGCAGAGTCCCTCAGAACTGTTGGAGCCCTCGCCCTACCGGGCTCTGGAACCAAACGTTCCTCGGGACTCTGCAGACGTTATAACACGGAAAAACGTGCGTTAACCCTATAAAATGACCCTCATCATTATCAGTCAAATATATACAATATATAAACTCTATGTCACATGACGTGATCACTCACATCTGAATAAAAGCCTGGGTAAACTTTTAGCTGTAGAGGAGATACTTTTTTTTCTCAAGAATTCTAGCCAACCATCCTGCAGATCAATCTGTGTCATATGTATGTCATCGGTGGGAACATTCTCGTACCCACTACTTAATCTTGCGTCCTAGAAATAATCAAACATGCTTGTACATGCTGTTATAAAACTATCTGTATCATAATCATAGCATATATGCCATTGATATATATTAATATAATAGCCAACCAAAAGCCTTTTCAGGTTCCTTGTCTTCGATTCAACTGAAACAGTACAAGACACTTGAAAGTTATTTCATTGAGTGAAACTGAAACAGGTTTACAGTAGATTTTATAAATAGATATTTTAAATGATCTACATGTAAGTCTATAAACGATTTAAAGTCTCTAAAACCATCTGACTTTAGCAGAATATATAGAAACCAAGAGGGTTATATAGGACATGACCTTGACCTTTACCAGCTGTAAATTTTGTGTATTGACAATTTTTGCTAAAAATAATTAGGAAATATTCACCTAGTATATCCCAATATTTTAAAGTAATAAGCCATGTAACGGTGTTACATCAATGTGACCTCAATAACCTGACTTTAAATGCACAAGTGAAGATAATGTGACCTTGAACTTTAACATGTTAACAGTAATAATCATTGACCTCTTAACCCTTTCCCCCATGAGCATATTGTGAAAAATGGCCGTTTTCACTGAAAAGCCTCCTGTTACAAGTTCAAACTGCTATGAAACTATGAAAAATGCTTCAATACTAATCAAACTTGGCACAAATGTTGACTGGACCATTGCCTTTGTAACTACATGCTCAGTCTTTAATTTCCTGTTACCATGGCAACGAGGGGACATCTCAAAATTGCCAAAAATCACTATTTTGCCTCGATTTTTTCCATCAAAATTTATTTCAAACTGCTGCAACTGTTCAAGGGATTGAGATAGAGTCAAAGGCTTTTCAGCGTTGGTTAAACGTTACATTATGATCGACCTAGGGTCATTTTTACCCTCTCACAAGTCCAAAATTTTCTTGGCGATGAGGGGGACTCCGCCCCCCTTCAAACCCCCCTAACAGAAGGGGGCACATCCCCCTTCTGGCAACCCCCTGATGTATCTTTTGGATGGGAGGCGGCGCCGAAAAAGTGCTCAATTTTTTAAGCATCATTTCTCAAACGAAAACTTATGTTTGGGGTCCAAATAGGACATTTTTTCACTATTTGAGGCCTTAAAAAGGGGGGGGGGTCGAAAGTGCGTTGTTTCGCGTATATATGTGGTAAAGGGTTAACAAAAAATGATGAAAAACTTTGGAATCACCTAAAAACTAGTTTTTCCATGTTAACATGTCGTATTTCACCTAATTGTGGTGAAAAATTGATGTTTTGTAACATTTATAATTTTTTAGTTAACCCTTTCCCCCATGAGCATATTGTGAAAAATGGCCGTTTTCACTGAAAAGCCTCCTGTTACAAGTTCAAACTAATATGAAACTATGAAAAATGCTTCAATACTAATCAAACTTGGCACAAATGTTGACTGGACCATTGCCTTTGTAACTACATGCTCAGTCTTTAATTTCCTGTTACCATGGCAACGAGGGGACATCTCAAAATTGCCAAAAATCACTATTTTGCCTCGATTTTTTCCATCAAAATTTATTTCAAACTGCTGCAACTGTTCAAGGGATTGAGATAGAGTCAAAGGCTTTTCAGCGTTGGTTAAACGTTACATTATGATCGACCTAGGGTCATTTTTACCCTCTCACAAGTCCAAAATTTTCTTGGCGATGAGGGGGACTCCGCCCCCCTTCAAACCCCCCTAACAGAAGGGGGCACATCCCCCTTCTGGCAACCCCCTGATGTATCTTTTGGATGGGAGGCGGCGCCGAAAAAGTGCTCAATTTTTTAAGCATCATTTCTCAAACGAAAACTTATGTTTGGGGTCCAAATAGGACATTTTTTCACTATTTGAGGCCTTAAAAAGGGGGGGGGGTCGAAAGTGCGTTGTTTCGCGTATATATGTGGTAAAGGGTTAACAAAAAATGATGAAAAACTTTGGAATCACCTAAAAACTAGTTTTTCCATGTTAACATGTCGTATTTCACCTAATTGTGGTGAAAAATTGATGTTTTGTAACATTTATAATTTTTTAGTTAACCCTTTCCCCCATGAGCATATTGTGAAAAATGGCCGTTTTCACTGAAAAGCCTCCTGTTACAAGTTCAAACTGCTATGAAACTATGAAAAATGCTTCAATACTAATCAAACTTGGCACAAATGTTGACTGGACCATTGCCTTTGTAACTACATGCTCAGTCTTTAATTTCCTGTTACCATGGCAACGAGGGGACATCTCAAAATTGCCAAAAATCACTATTTTGCCTCGATTTTTTCCATCAAAATTTATTTCAAACTGCTGCAACTGTTCAAGGGATTGAGATAGAGTCAAAGGCTTTTCAGCGTTGGTTAAACGTTACATTATGATCGACCTAGGGTCATTTTTACCCTCTCACAAGTCCAAAATTTTCTTGGCGATGAGGGGGACTCCGCCCCCCTTCAAACCCCCCTAACAGAAGGGGGCACATCCCCCTTCTGGCAACCCCCTGATGTATCTTTTGGATGGGAGGCGGCGCCGAAAAAGTGCTCAATTTTTTAAGCATCATTTCTCAAACGAAAACTTATCGTTTGGGGTCCAAATAGGACATTTTTTCACTATTTGAGGCCTTAAAAAGGGGGGGGGGTCGAAAGTGCGCGTTGTTTCGCGTATATATGTGGTAAAGGGTTAACAAAAAATGATGAAAAAACTTTGGAATCACCTAAAAACTAGTTTTTCCATGTTAACATGTCGTATTTCACCTAATTGTGGTGAAAAATTGATGTTTTGTAACATTTATAATTTTTTAGTTAACCCTTTCCCCCATGAGCATATTGTGAAAAATGGCCGTTTTCACTGAAAAGCCTCCTGTTACAAGTTCAAACTGCTATGAAACTATGAAAAATGCTTCAATACTAAATCAAACTTGGCACAAATGTTGACTGGACCATTGCCTTTGTAACTACATGCTCAGTCTTTAATTTCCTGTTACCATGGCAACGAGGGGACATCTCAAAAATT